GTGGGGGGGGGGGTGCAGAGAAGCAGCTCCCGCCACTGCTTGGATCCCAGGAGGGCACGGGGAGGGCGTGTACCCCCCAGATCTGTGGGGGGCAGAGCGGGCTGCACAGGGCTCTTCTTGGCGGGGGCTGGGCTTGGAGCCAGCGCCACTGGCACTGGGAGGATGCTGCATCCACCCCAAATTTCGTTGCTGCTGCTCTGCTCCCAGTGCTGCCACCGCCAGCTGCCCAGCACAGCCCCGGCTCTTCCTGGCCCCTGGGTAGAGGCAAGGCATTGAATGCACTATTTGGGGTGGATGTAGCATTGTCCCAGCACCGCCAGCACCCGCTTTGAGTCCAGCCCTGCCAAGAAGAGTCCCATGCAGCCTCAGCTGCAGCCCGCCCCGCCCTACCCCACACAGATCCAGGGGGCACATGCCCCTCACCTGTGCCCTCCCCGGGTACAAGCAGCAGAGGGAGCCGCCCCTCACGAGATGCGACTCCAGCCTTCCCTCTCCTGCCTCGCCTGGGCAGCATCTGCCTCTGCCCCCGACTCCTTCCTCACCACAGGGGGCATTGATCTCTCCCCCCCACACTCCTTTCTTCTCCCCGCCCCTTCCACCACACCAGACCTACCAGCTGGAGTCAGCTCTCCATGCTGCCGGCTATGCTCCTCGCATGGGCATTTACGGGCCAAATTATTGGCCCCATCAAGCCGATATCCAATACAGCCAGTTTTCTTTATATCGGTACTGATCCGGTATCGGACCGATGTATCGGTGCACCTCTAAAAGTAATCTAGCGTAACATCCAGATACACAAGCACTGAGATGACATTCGTAAGAACTAAGAAGGAGTCACAACCTAGTCACTATGCTGTAGTGGAAGTTTTTTTCTTTTATCAAAACAACAGCCGCATCTATTTGACCAAAAGCTAGATTATTTCTTCCATGCTTTTTCAGTTAACACTTGCTATTTCTGAAGCAGTTTAATATGATCAATAATGGCTCATACAGATTTACACACACAAGCAGAGAAGAAATAATAAAAATCATAATTTTCAGAAACCCACTTTCATATTTCTTTTGCCCAAGATTTTTTTTGGCTGTTCTTTAAGTAGGCACATGTACACAGGTATCTAATATATATGCAGTTTTCTCAACCTGGATAAATCTCAGAAGCTTGGGTATTACTAATATTTAGATACTAGAATTCATGCCTTTCACCAATGTGCTGTAACTTTAGAAACCTCTGTGCCACTATGAAAAAATTATTAGGGGTGCACCAATAGAGACTTTTTTGGCCCAGTGCTGATGGACGATTTTTAAGGAGCCATATTGGCCGGTACACACATACTGATCCGATTCTAAGATGCAGCCAGGCAGCTTGGAGACCAGCATTGGGCTGGTAAGTCTGGTGTGGGCGAAGGGGTGGGGGGAGAGAAGGGGCATGTGGGGAGGGCAGATCAAGGTCCCCGTGGTGAGGGAGGGAGTGGGGCTGCTCAGCTGGGGTGGGGCAGGGCGTGGGATGGAGCCACAAGCAGTTTGTCCGGGTGGCAGCTCCTGCCCTGAACATACCCCGGGAGGGCATTTTGGCTGAGGACAGACAATACACGTAAACCTGTTTAAGTGATCAGAAACTGGTTTAAACTTGTAATAGAACATAAGTTCGGTGGCACATAAACCAATTTCAAAATGGCCAAAACCAGTCTGAGATAAACCTGGCTGAATGTAGTATCAGACTTAACTGACTGAGCTCAAACCAGCTTATGCAACTTCTGTCCAAGACCCCTTCCTGGTTTAAGTTAAATCAGAGTCCCCCAGCATACTCTGCTGCCCTGGGTGGGGCTGTGCTGTGCTCCAGCAGCAGAGTGAGGTTTATTCCCCACTCCCTCTCCTGTTTCACCAGCATGGACCTGTCAGGCAATTAAACCCCCACCCTGGCCAAGTAGATTCCAGGCTACTGCCAAGGCTGGCCACCCACCCTATCCCCCCACCAGCACAGCCTCCCTGCAGCTGAAGGCTACTCTAGCGCCCCCTGGGTTCTGGCCTGAGCCACTGCAGGCATGTGCCTGCATTTCCAGAGTTAACAGTGACTGTCTACTGACTTGCAAATTGGTTCAATCTAGACAGGTTAGACTAACTTGCAAAGATTGAATCAATTCAGGCTCTGGCTTTTTGAATGCCTGCTCCTAGCCTTCCTGACAGCCACCTACCTCTCCTGTGTTCTCCAACTTTCTGCAGTAGAGAGGTAGGGGCTAACTCAGACACAAACACTCCTTCACCCAATCCTGAAATTTGTCTACAGTCTATCTAGGCATAGGATTTAAGTGAAATAATAAAAAAAATCCCAGGTAGATTCTTAAGGGATAAAAGTCTAAATCCTTAAGTGTGTTTAACTGAAAGGCAGAGAATTCCAAGTGAGCTCTTTAAAATAATATATGGATGCAGGTATGGGCTTCCTCCAAAGTGAGGAAGCAAAGAAAACCTGCCATGCAGACTGCTGAACATAAAAAGATCAAGAGAAACAAGCAGAGGGGTAGGCAAGACAGCTCCATTCCTATGATTTGCACATTAGTATCTTTTTGGCCAGTTTCATTTTTGCAATATTAGACATTTCATTTTGAATTGTGGTCATTTTTTGGCAGACTAATGAAATGACTATCTGCAAACATTTGTAGTGTTTACAAGGGTACTGTTCACTGTTAGTGTACACTACTGCTCATAAAACAAGGCAAGAGAGTGTACATTAAAAATAATCTACTTAAACATGATATGACTCATTACAAATAAAGTGCTTCTTAGACATGAATCCAATTCTTAATGTCAACCTGGATTATTTTTCTTTGTACTAATCAGGGTTAAATATTAGAACTATGAAAAAAATGATAATTTATTTAGATAGATCCTGAATAGACAGGTATTGTATCTTGTCTGTTTTATTTAGGGGTACACTGATAGAGATTTTGGGGGCCAATACCAATAGCCAATTTTTAAAGAAGGCATATCATCTGATATCAATCTGATTTCCGATACAGCTACACACAGCTAGTATGTCCGTTGTGATGGAAGGGGAGGGGAGAGGGCAGATCAACACCCCCTGCGGTGAAGGAGGGAGTGGGGCAGGGGCAGACGCTGCCCAGCCAGAGCAGAGCAGGGCATGGGATGGAGCATGGCACGGGGGCTGGGGGTGGCTCCAGCAACTGCCTGCACCCCAGGAGGGCACGGGGTGGGTGGGCTGCAGCTGCAGTCTGGAGCCAGGGCTGCACTGGGTTATTCTTCG